ACAATTCTTTGCAAAAACCTTAAAAACTTTAAACCTCATTTTGAAATCTGTTGTTTGTCAACCCTATACAGTGTGTTCTTTGTAAACTGATATAAACGTCTGTACAAAGGACCTCTGTGACATAGTGGAGAAAAAGTTCCTCTTCTGAGTCTCCTAGTCACCACTAGAGGTCTCCCGAGGAGAGATAACCAGCTCTCTGTTGCTCTTCCCTGACAGCCACATGAATGAATATTTGTCATCATTGACACCTTCTACTTTAATTAAGAGGACTATATTAAAGGCTCACTCAGTTACTCAGGCGTTCATGCCAGAACCAACCAAAAGTCCTTAGCTCACACGTACACTCTTTCTCTATACTGCAGAAATCGAATCTTTTACAAAGCCTTAATGCTTGCTCTTTCTGATAAAAAAGCTATAATCATGCAATTGAATTCCTGTTCTCCATATTAGTCCGAGATATTAGACCTGAAGCCAGTGAAAAATGCAGCCTTTAACAGAGGCACAGTCACACCTACTTTCACAGTTTAAGTGGATGATAAACGGGATATGTTGTCATTTGTATAAGATTCACAAGTTCCCGAGTCAAAATGGCTGCTGAGTTAAGCAATGTGTAGAGATTCTTGCAGTATATGAACCTGCATTTCCCATCAATAGTGGTCAATCCTGAACTTGGTAATACTGGAGGTAGAGAGCAGTTTCCATCTTCACAGGCTAGGCTGTTCTTTCACGAATATGGGAGAATCTGTGAATCAGTGCAAAATTACATCTTCATCTTATTTTTCTCTCCTTTTTTGTGTCATTAATGGTATGTTCACATACAATTGTGGTTTGACAGAGGAGCAATGTTCTCCTCTGGTATTTGTAATCCCGAAAGAGGATATACGATAACAACCTTATTTTCAAACTCAAAGAGAATCAGCAGTCCAGTGATTCTCAGTCCAGCCCTGAGAAGAAGAGAAGGAAAAAAAAACATGAGATACTAATTAGAATGTTAATATAAAGAAGATTGCACATCTGTGCTCATTTCTCAGAACATTTTGTCATATTTCCATGAAGCTATCAATTGTCCATCAACAAAAATATAAAGCAGTCTCCATAGAGGATACTACAGGTCAACTACTGTAACAATAGAGGCATCTGCTTTATCACTTGATTTAATCATTGCAAATTACTCTTTTGTTTCTCACTTTTCTTCCCTTGAACTAGGCCTCTCTGACCACTAGCTATTCTCTTCAATCTGGAATTACCAGTGTCTAATCAATTGATCAGCCTAGGTTCACATATTCTGTTCTATCGTCCTTGTCTTTTTTCCCCACCTCTGATCGTCTACAGAACAAAAGGCATTTCCTTAATAGGGCTTTTTATCTACTCTCGATACCTTAGCTCCTCTTATAAATGGAACTATCTCTTTTTCTCGCTCTGCCCCCTGGTACACCGAAGGCAGTCTATGGGGAAACTTGAACGCGGACACATTTTTTCCACCATCAACAGACCTCTAAAGCTAAAGTGCCCCACCGCATTACCTGCCTCATCGCAACTTTGCAACACATTTTTAGATTTCTTTGGCTCTAAGAATGACAACATCTGGCATCACATTCTTTCCACAGTGTTTGTCAGTTCCACACCACCTCCCTGCTATGATAACTTCACTGGTTCCCTTCTTTCTAACTTCTAACTCACTTCTTGACTCTGCAACCATGAGTAAATGAGTTTAACATATAAAACCCCCCACCTGTATATTAGACCCCATTACTACCACTTTATTTCAGTCCTGTTTCACTTCTCTGTGCTCTCTCGGCCCCGTTGTCCTCAATATAATAAATTAATCCTTGAGCACAGGTGTTGTACCAACGGTCATCAAAACTGCTGCCATTACCCCTGTGCCAAAAAAGCCTAACATAGCTCTGGACAATCAAAATAATTTTCACCCCATCTCCAACTTACCCTTTCTTGCAAAAAGTCTAGTCTAAATCGAAAAACGTGGGGGTGATGTTTGATTCAGGCTTGACATTCGACCGACATGTTCAAGATATTGTCAAAATATCTTTCTTTCACCTAAAAAAATTCACTAGACTACGTCCTGCGTTATCGCTAACTGTGGCTGAAAATCTGATCAACACATTTGTCTTCTCCCAAATTGACTACGGTAACGCTCTACTCGCTGGTTTTTCTAAATCCACATTGAACAAACTGCAGTATGTCCAAAATTGGGTAGCCAGAGTCTTGACACGGACTAGTGCTAGTGTTCACATTACTCCTATCCTGGAGTCCTTGCACTGGCTTCCTGTCAAGTTTTGTGTCGACTTCAAAATCCTCATGCTCACCTATATGGCTCTGCATGGTTTGGCACCTTATTACCTGTATGAGCTATTATCATCCTACTCACCTCCTTCCAACCTTCGCTCTTATAATTCTGGTCTCCTATCTGTCCCCCGAGCCCATCTACACTCTATGGGTGACAGAGACTTCTCCTGTTATGCCCCAAAGCTCTGGAACTGTATCCCCAAGGATATCAGAGAGTAACCTTCTCTAAACACCTTCAGATCTAGACTCAAACCCTTCTTTTTTAGAAGAGCCTTTACTTAACTGGTTCTGTTCTTTACCCCTCTGCCCCAACTGTATTCAGTACCCCCATCTACTGTCTCCTCTCATTGTGCATATGTCTGCAGTGGAACTTGTTCTATAGCTCAACACAACAAGGACACAAAATCACAAAATGGGAAGGAAACGAAAATAAAAATAGTCTTTATTTGAAAAGAGAAGTTGAGAAGAGGGGTGTTGCCACTAACAGATCTTTTATTCTCTTCAGCAATGAATCTCCTCGCTGTACTGACCATTCTATCAGGTAAAAAGAATTCTCTCATTGCAATCTTGTTTTATGGTCTGATGAAGAATATAATAACATTTAACAATTAATAACAGTTTTTAGATTTGCCTTTTAATTAAGTTGAAACCGACTGTTTTCACAACACAAAAACAGGAAACTGAGCAAACTCTTCTACAGTGAAGTGCAGCCCAGTGATGTGTAGACAGTGGTTGTATCAGTGGTAGTAAGAACACTGAACTTCACAGTTTGATAATCAAATGTCTTACATAAACAGGACCTCAGCACAGCACACTCGGCACTTGTGTAACAAGTGTTCATGTAAAATATTGTTACTAATGGGAAACCTGTTGAATATCAGGAATTGACCAAGTGGTTTAGTCAATAAGTAAAATAAATATTCATAACCCCCAACTTGTAAGTGTTTTCTCCAGAATATACCTGAGTGGGTGGTGTAATTAGAAGGATGTGAATTCTTTGTTCTCTGGCACAGCTTTGGTGAGAAGAGTAATAATTCAGCTACA